TGCTGCTGCTGGCGGCGTTTGTCCTGGGCTGGGAGATCCTCCGTGCTGGGGTGTGCGGAGCTGCGCCGAGACGGCGGGAGAGTGAATGAATGAACGGTGAATCAAAGTAAAGAATACCTGAAGCCTTCCTTCTGGCTTTGCTCCGCGTGGGCGTCAGTGGTTTGGGCTCACTTAACAATACGTCAGTGATTCTACTGCGTTTCTCTTAACTGATGCTGCAGTGAGTGTTTGCAGGTAGCGCTGAGGGGTGTTAAGCTGGAAATACAAGCGTATTAAATTCAAGGAGTTAGTAAGAGTGTTAACTGTGAGGTAAAGGAGACCGTTGAGTCTTTGGTTTAAATTAACATATCCCGAAAGGATATGCTTGATAAGCATTGCACTGTCGGTTATGGAGGAGGCTAAGTGTGAAAGACCTAGACAAGAAAAAGAACTAAGTTTAACTGAATAGCAGGATTCTGAAAAAGGTATTGGAGAGCCAGTCAAGGCCAAGGATGAAGACAGGCAGAAAAGCAGGCTAGCAGCATTGCAGGTGAACGATGTCCTGAGAAATGCAGGTTCTTTGCACTGCTACTAGGATCAGTACTAATCCTCCGGGCTAACTGTGAAATGTCTGATTGATTTAACCCTTGTAGGCTTTGCTTTTGCCTACTCCCCTGTCTTCTTGTCCAGAGTATTCATTGGGGGAAAAAAAACAGCAACAATCTTTTCAGAAAGAGGATATCTATTTGCTGTTTTTCCTGCTTCTTCATTTGGGACTTCTGCCTAGCCAAGGGACCTTTCAGAGCCAAGAGTAGTATGTAAAATACTACTGTAGAATGGAGTTCAGGGTTTGTGGTTTTTTGCTTTTTTCACTGTTTTTCTGAAATTCTGAAGATATTCCAACTATTATTTTTAAGCTTGTTCACTGCTGTCTGGAAAAATACGGAGTTTGCCATAGAGTCACTGGTGAAGTAGTGTAAAAAATAACTGGAGAGGACCAGTGCATTAGTTGATGTATGAAAAGTTAAATTTGCATCTGTAGTTTAGAATGCTTTTGAAATTATTCATCGCCTGGAGTTATAAATCACCAGTAATTGCAAAAGAATGCACTTTGTTTTTTTCTCAAATTAATTTTTCAATATTAAAAAATACTACTGGCAAAATAATAATGAAAATGGAAACTTAATACCATCGTCTGAGAGCCTATTGTGCATTATTACATTCTTGTTTTCTACACAAAAGTTAGGAAAGACAATAAACATCCGCTGACTTTAACAAGCAACATATCTTCAATTCTTAATATTTACTAGGCTGTTTTGATATAGTGCTGTAGTATTCTTGCACAGCTTATGGGGTTTCTGGAGAAACATTGAGAAAGCATTATTCCCTCCCGTCTGTAAAGGATAATAATTTTAACAAGACAATAAACCACAAATAGTATATCTCACATGTATTAATATGAATTTCTGTATTTTTAGGCATTGAAATGTTGTGTTTGATTAAAATGGGAAGGCTCTTCTGGTGCAGGAGAAACCATTTAAAAATAGTTTGCACCCTTTATAAAAATGTTTAGTTCATAGTTGCAAAGTTTATGTACAAAATGCCAGGGGTTTTGGTGGGTTTTTTTCCTTCCCCTAAGAATGCTAGTGAAATATATTTCCAAACTCTGATATTAATCAAGTCAATAATACTTTCTGCTGAGACACTGGCTAATGAGAGTAATGGTCCTGGCCTATTAATGTTCTTTCAGCAGTAACTTTGGGATGATAAGAACAGTGTTCTTTTAATATTTTTTTTTCCTCCTTTTTTCCTCTGCTAAGCAAAGAAAGTGAGTCTGAATCCATTGCAGCAGGAGACAATTACAAATATGTTTGAAGTCAATACAGGAGAAGTGTCAGAGCAGTAATTGCAGCAGCTGTTGAGAGTTGGCCTCTGCCTTCTTTCTTGTTCCCTGCAAAAGCAGGAATTAATACTCCCTTCCCATGACTGCATATTTATCTTATTGGCAGCTGGTAATTCCTTTGGAGTCCTGCCTCCAAGTGTTTTCCTTCCAGAACAGAGTATTTCTGTTCTTCTGAAGTAAAGAGTACTAGAGAAAAGGGCAAATTGCAATTGTTGTATTTCCTCCAGGCAGTAGAATTTGCAATTCCATTTTTCACTGTGAATGGGTATTGAGAATGTCTGCAGCAAATCAGTTGTAGCAGGTTACATAGCAGTTTTAAGTCTGGGTGAATTTTAGATGATACTGTAGAACTGCACAGTAAACACCATGCTGTCTGCTGCTGAGTTGAAGTTAGGGGAGTTGAATGTTGCTGTAACAAATCCCTGCTCTGAGCTGTTATGACATTTTGTTGCCATAACTAAATACAAATTGCAAAACAGGCAGAATAATGCCCTTTTACTCCTGAGCTCTTCAAGCAATACTAAACGATCAACTAGATCTACATTGCAGTCAAAAGTGCAACTGAAGGACACTGGGATCTGGCTAACAGTTGCAGTGAAGGCCATGATGGGATGGGTGGAGTATTTTTATTTGTTTCAGGCTGGATTATAGGGAACTAGTGGGATCTTCAGTATGCATACGTATCCACACACACAGAGTCACAAAGTGGGCTGCCAGCCTCCCTGTGGTATGGCTGGTTTTGCTGACTGTTTTGATGTATCCTGTAGGTTTCTAAATTGTCTGGTCACAGGAATAGCAGTAACGTAAGGGGGAGTGAATGCATTTTGCAGCTGTCACTGCTGTTTCTGTTATTTCTCTGCTATTCAGTCTGCGTGATAGTCAAAGGAAGGCCTTGGAAGTTTAATTTTAAAAGCAAGATATATTTTTAAGTATGGTCTTCATAATACCTCAGAAGCTATTGCCAAATAGTAGCTTTAATCATAGCTTGATGTTTCTGGCCCAGTTGCTCAAACAAGTCTTCCATCCTACTCTTGCCTTCCCAGTATTTCTTAAGCAACTTCACAGATAAGCAGAATGCAAAGATACTCAATATCTATTAGCTTTGTGAAAAGCAGCAGCTGGCTGGAGATCCAGGCCAGTGTGTTTAATGTCCATCAGTGCATGTGTGACTTGCAAAGGGCCTACAGCATTCATCTGCCTTGTGTTCCATACAGAAGTCTGGGGAAGTGGGACTGCTGTGCAAGACTATGGGAGGTGGAATGCGAGGTCTTGGGAGGATGGGAAGGATCAGGTTACTTACATTGCTGTGCTAAACGTCACAAAGCAGTCTCCTCTTCCATACTATCGTAGCAGTAAATTAGAAGGGGTGTCTTTGCCCTGTGTGTGTATACATGCATGCTTTTTTGTTGCATTCAACTCTGGTGTATAGTTCCAAATATCACTTTTTTTATAAGCAGCTTCCAAGGATATGTCTGTTATTGAAGTAATTGGTATCTACAAGACTTACTGTATTTGTACACTCAGGAAAGCTTTTAGGTGGTCCATAATATAGGCTGAGTTTTCTATAAATTTGAAATGTCTGTAGATTGGACTTCCTAAGTTTTTCACAATTGTTACGCATGAGTTTTTCCTGGTACTGTATTTTGTTACATTCCTACATTTGTTTCCTTTTCAGAGATTGGAATGGGACTGACAGGCTTTGGAGTGTTTTTCCTTTTCTTTGGAATGATACTCTTCTTTGACAAAGCTCTTTTGGCCATTGGAAATGTAAGTGCCTGCTGTTTAGTCGTAGATTCCTCACTGCTAAGAATTAAGTATGTGATATATTACAAATAAATAAAAATAGAAAGTCACAAATTTTAAACTGGATCACAAAAAATATTGTGGCAATTTGGTATAAAGGAAGAGTTATTTTCAGTGATAAGAGTGAATCATTTTTCCTGAGTAAAGAGACAGCAGCTCACATCAATGTAAATGTCATACTTCCAGGTCAGGCCTGCGGTAGGTTGGTCAGAGAAGAAGTAGCTTAGTCAACAGTAGTTATGGTGCTGCAAATAAGATTTTTAGATTCACTGGCATTACTAACACTTTCTATTTGTGGTCTTTTAAGATAACGGCCCAATTTAAGTATCTGATAAGAATAATGTTCTGTACGTGCTATCAAATGTAGCTTTGCTGTGCTTTGTGAGGAAAGAAAGAAGCATGAATTCCTGATAGTCTGGGTATAGAAGAACCATTCACCCTTCACAGAGAGATTTAGTATCTTCAGTTTTTACCACATCAAAATTGTCACTTGAAACAGGATAGAAAATAAATCCTAGTTCTGGTATACAAAATTCCCAATCCAAAGCAAATATAAAATTACAAGGTGTTTTCTGAATGTCATCTTTGTGCCTCTGCTCCTCCCAGTTTTGCCAGCCTGCCAAGAACACAGCCTGGTAGAGGTTTTCATCCTCTGTTGCTGATGCCTTAAAGCCTGTGATGAAAATTGATCCATTTCATCTGTAGCAGCAGAGTCAAATACTGAGATTCACTGAAGGAAAAGTCAAAAGCATGTATATTAGAATGTGAGTGCATTAGTTGAAGCTTTGTTCTGAACTATCAAGTGTATAGTGGAAGCATAAAATATAATGTTATGCTTATTTTTTCTTTTCCTAATGTAAGAAAGATCCTGTTTAGGGAAACTGATGAAAACATAGGTAGGAAGAGTCAATGACAGGCTGTGTGGTAACTAAAGACAATGCAAGAAAAGGTACTGTATCCTTACAGGAAGTTTAGTTTTTAAAAAAAATTATATCAGAAAAAGGAAAAAGTGGTAAGAAAATGCTTTATTAAATAACTTTAAAAAATCAAATTTAATCTATAATCTTGAGTAAATCCCCTTTTCAGCAAAAATGTTGCCCAGTGCCTATAAGCTGAAGTAATTACAAGTGCTGTTGCTAAAGGACACTAGTAGTTCTGACTAGTATGATAGCATTCAGTCTTTGATGGAACTAGTAAATGGTAGGAAGACAACACACAGTAAAAAAAGGAAGTAAAACAAACAAGGTAACTGATAGTACTCTTCAGCTGCTTTCCTTTTTTGGCTTTGCATTGTTCAGTAGTTCAGTACAAGCTGTTGAAGATGTCCATGGTTCAGAACAGAGGTGCTTTTGTAACACATCTCTTCTCAATTTATAGGAACCTTTGCTGTCAGTGGTACTAAACTTTAGTACTGCTTGTGGATAAGGTTTGTACTTATGTTAAAGGACAGATAACTGTTGTCACCAGGTCTTTTGACATGGTTGTATTTGTCAGAGATCACAAAGGTAGACTTTTTTTAAGCATATGAGAGAAGAGCTTTGAAAGCTAGCTACAAATGCTTTGGGATGGACTTTACTGCTGATTTTCTTTAGTAAATTCCTTTTCACCAAATATGTTTTGGTATTAAAAGAAATTGTACAAGAAATGCAATCAAATGTTATAGAATATATGCATGTTTACATCCTAAACTTAGGAAAAAAGCCAATTATATTCCTCTCTTTTTTTGGTCTTTTCTAGGTTTTATTTGTGGCTGGCTTGTCTTTCGTTATCGGTTTAGAAAGGACGTTTAGATTCTTCTTTCAAAAGCACAAAATGAAAGCAACAGGCTTTTTCCTGGGTGGTGTCCTCATAGTTCTCATTGGTTGGCCTTTAGTAGGAATGATCCTTGAAATTTATGGGTTCTTCCTATTATTCAGGTAAGACTTGTTTCAAAATACTTTTCTGTACTGGTGTATCTAGAAACAAATGTATTCATTTTGTGCTGCTGTGTTACAGCAGACAAAACAGCATACTTTAAATGTTTGCTTTTGATAGATTTAATATAAAGCTGTTGATTCACATTTGCAAGAAGTAGAAGGTTGGTAAGGATTTTTCAAGACTCCTATCTGCTAATGTTTGTGAGGCATATATACACTGACTTTGGTAATGTTTATGTCTAACCAAATTGTGAAGATTAAAAGTATATGGGAGCACATATTGTTAGCACTGCCAGGTTTAAATATTTCCTCATTAAAAAGGCAACTTAGACACTTAGTATTTTTTTGCGTGCGGAGCTTGTTCTTCAAGAAATGGGGCAAAATACTGTATTACCAACATCCTAGGTCTTTAACCTTACCATTTCATTACTATGGTAGCCCATTGAAAAGATGTTTTCTGGCACGTTTCATTGCACTTGTGCCCTAGTACAGTCAGAACTGATGGTTTTGGTTAGCATTATCTGGACTGAATTAAAGAAAGATGTCAGTTCTTTTCAAACAGGAATCTTGATGCATGTTACAGTTTTCAGAATGTGTCGTTTAACTTCTTTATAAATACGATGGCAATGGTGAAAGAATTTTACTTGTTCCAACCTGTATATCTGTATTTTATCTTTATTTCCATCGTCGGAGATCCATAGTTGAGTATAGAACAAAGTATGCTAATAAGTAAGAAGGGAGGCTTTTAGTTGTTCTTTGGCTTCTGTTCAGATTAAGACTGTTCCATTAAGGTTTATTAATCTACTAACAGACCCCTAAAATATTTTTTAAGTGTTTAGCACCTAGCTAAGTGATACACTTTCTGTTAACCAAAATCAAACCACTGTTCTCATGGCACCTATTCATTCCACTCAGAAAACTTGTATGTTAATCTCATATTTAGTTTACATGTTTAAAGAAAGTCTTAACTTGGCTTTTATTAGATGTTTCTTATTCATCTACGCTATTACTCTGACCTCTCTCACTGCAAGTGTTTTGAAAACCACGGTACTTTACTGAGCATAATACTTGCATGTCGTGCTTGGGTTTAATCAGCCAGTACAAAGCAAGTAGTGTGTTTCCAACCAAACACCCCTGCTTTTAAAAGATCTTAAAAGAATTATAACTTACTATGTTAAGCAGGTATGGTTATGGGTTATCTATTGATGCTAGCCGAGGGCTTAGCAGGGTAATACAATGTTGAAGGGATTATAGAAGGTCACTAGGACTATTTTAGTCAGAAGAGTATCATAAGTTATAGATAATTCCAGATGTGAATGTTTATCTATTTTAATTTAATACATCTCTAAGCCATCTTTTCTAGTGCTTAATAGTTCTTAGAATCTAACTCCCTTGTTACAAAGTTAAGAAGTTACCCCAAACAAAGCTCTTTTGCTTCAGTCTTGTTAATTTCAACCATTATCATGATGTTGGCAACTTCCATCATATTGAATAACTTAAAAATGGAGAGTTTCTTCAAGCATCATTTTATACAATTCCATGGGATATTGCTGTTTGTTGCATAACACAAAACTTCCTGGTTGCCATTGGTCTCTGTAGTACATAATCTTCTTAAACACAAGAAATACCAGATCAACTTATGCACCTTTGGTTTTATTAGGGAGTGTGTTGTGAGAATGGGCATTTCCATATATCCTAATGATTCTAGTCATGTGGATTACCAGGACATTTATACAGAAAACCTGTGTATTTATCAAGAGCAATTTATCAGTTCTAGTAACTTCAACTGAGAGGAGGATAGCTCAAATGTAAAACACTGTATTGTGTTTTTTTCAATCTCTTGATATTTAGACCACAGAACCAGTTCTATTAGGTGTTCAGATCTCTCTAGAATCTTTAGTCATAGGTTGTTGTCTTGCGTATCTCAACTACTTCTACACAGTCACCTTTCATACATCCTGAAGCAGTAATGGCAGAGCCCCTGTTGTCCACAAAGCAGCGGTTAGGTACTAGTGATCAATAAAATTTAAATTACAGAATTGAAAGGATATTTTTTAAAATGCATCTGACTGAAGTGAGAGACAATTATTATTTTACTCTGGTTTAAATCTAGAGTGTCTTTCACTTCTTGTCTCTATTTAAGATGCTACCACAAGTTTTCCATCAGAGGTCTTGTCTTTTGTCATACATTCATATGCCCAGATTGCTTTCCATGGAGAAGGTTATTTTGGGATAGTATCTCTTGTACTCTCTGCTGCTTTTGGAGCCTTGTTCAGATTACAAGCATCCAAAGTTATGGCTAACAATATTGTCCTGGCTATACTGACTATTCCCTATTCTTGGCTACACCAGTTATTTTAGTCTGTTGCAAGTAGTTTTTGTGTGCCCTGCATCACATCTTACTGGACCACTGAAATGATCTGATTTTTAAAAGGACAAGCAAATCTTCTGTAAAAACTTTATTATCCAGCAAATTACACAGTGTAGTGAAGAAGATAATGAGTTGTGAAACTTTACTCTTACACTGTTGAAGTCTCATTACACGTTAATCCTTATTCTACATGAGGAATGTATAGATCAATAAGAGAGAATTCAGAATGCCACCACTGGCTGAATTGCTGCAGTTTGCAAACAGCTGAGGTGTTGCCATAGAAAATTTGTTTTCTTGCTGCAGAGATGAAGTTAGCAGTGCAGGGAACTACACCATAGCAGCTATGCTGAGCAACATCCCCTGGCTCATGATTAAAATCCCTGACTTTACATAAATTTGGCAAATCAGTGAATACACAATTCTGTCATGCTTAATTTTCTTTAATTAATGCCAAGAGTATCATGTGGTTTCCAAGGGAATTACTCTGAATTGACTTCAGTTGTTTTTAGATTGGGTATTGTAAGAATGTATTTTGTATAATATGAAAAGAAATTATCTCAAAATATGTATGGTAATTTTGAGAAGTTAGTTGGAAGCATGGTTCTGTTGACTAAGCTGGGTATTCTTTAGTTATTTCTGAAGAGTTCACTGAGGTTGCTAGCTATGAAGAAAATTAAGTCAGTTTAAAAATTAGGTGCTTATTTCCTGTTTTTTTTCCCTTTCCCTGTTGAGTTTATGTTGATATATTTGGTAAAATTAATGTGCTGCTAGCAAGTGATAAAATTTATCTAATACTGGTTTAAAAATACCTCCTATTTCTTAGTTTTATAGCAATATGATAATAGTTTAATTATAAAAGCTAATACAATCCTCTTATATCTTACCTAAAGGGGGTTCTTTCCTGTGGTGGTTGGCTTTATTAGAAGAGTTCCAGTTCTTGGATATCTCTTGAATTTACCTGGTATAAGCTCGGTAAGTGGTACTTCATACAAAATTTGAAGCTTGTACTGTTTTTTATTCTGTTGTTATAGCAGTAGTAGAAATGCATCAGAAGTAAAGCAAATACAATTTAGAGTAGTGATTTTGAGTGTATTTCTGTGTAGTTCTTGCATCATACAGATAGCCTGCATTCCCAATGAGGGACTTCTAGGTGTAAGAGGAACAAAAGGATACCTTTGAAGAAGCTGCCCCTGATTACACGTTGTGATATGGACAGAGCCCTGGATTGTGATGCAGAACGCTGGGCTTCTGCCTCCTGCTTCACTCTTGGCCCTAGATGATGAGATAGGTGAATTGTGCCACCATCTTGTGCCCCTTCTGTCTGTATGATGAGGAGGACACTGTTCTTCTTTGTGTAGTATTAGCATTTGTTATTAGCATGAAAAGTGTAAAACCAAAACCAGTTCAGTTCAATGTTAGGGTGCAACTTGTATGATGAATGCAGAAACTCTCACAAGGCATAATCATTCATCAGGTGTATTTATGAAGGACCACTGCACCTAATGACATCTTGCTATTTGCTAGGGTTATTATTTTTTTTTAATGCAGTTTTCTATTTTCTTAACCAAACAGCCAGGGATTTGAGGACAATTAAGAGGTGCTAGAAAGGTGGTAATCTAGAGTGTTTCAGTCAACTACTTTTACTGTGCTAATTTCTATATGTATTTTAACGCAAGCATTTCTAACCCTAGTTTTGAAAGCAAGTTTTAATAGTTACTACTAACAAATTATTATGGGATATAACTTAGATGTGCACCATCTGTTTTGTAAAAATTAGTGTTCAAGGTCATCTCTTCCAATCTTAGGCCAAGTTCTGGCTCATAATTCATGATCAATTGAATATTTAATTTGTCAATTGATCTTACTTTAGTCACATTTAATTTGATCATAATGGGGTTAAATCTTGCTTTAAAAAGATAATTGTTAATGTTTTATTCAAAGCCTACGTAGGCTCAGAAGAGAATCCACAGTAATGGTCAGTTGAATTATCTTATTTGGTCTACTAATGCATGTATGGCTGATACTATATTGTTTTGTTTTAATCATTAAGCTAGCAGTGTTACCTGCATTCCTCTATTTCCTTTTTCATTCTGTTGCATCTTCATGTTGCACTGTTAATGTCTATATGAGAAAAACATGTCATGCAGAAACACAATTGCAATGTAAGATTTTTAATTTTCACAAACTTAAGTCATGAGACCTTGGTGAGTACTATTTGACTCATTTTTAGTTGCATACTAACTGCAATTAGTAAGTAGTATTTGAGAGTAACTTCACTGTACATAAATGTCATGCAACTTAAAACCTTTCTTGTCTTCTTTTCTACAGCTTGTAGATAAAGTTGGAGAAAGCAACAACATGGTATAATGACGAAAGGGCAGAAGACTGATTCTAAACTTACTGTATTATTTATGAAATCCTTTTGAAGAATACTCAGCACAAAGATTATGTTGTGTACAAAGGAAAAGCTTGTTACATTCTTTACATAACAGTTTAATTTAAAATGTATAGTCAACAATATACATTAGAAAGGAAGCTCAGCAAGTATGCTTCTAGGAAAGTAACTCCAGAGTTCAGGAAGTAAACTGAAGAGGTGAAAGTCGTGGAATAACCCAGGTTACAACTGTTAAAGACTATTTCTGTTGGTTTTGGAAAACATGCTAGAGGCAATGAACCCTTGTGGAATTAACAGTGCCTGTACTTTACCTCCTTATTTTGAAGGTGCAGTAGAGCAAACAGGCCTACATTTTTAAGGGTGACCCAAACTTATCCAACCCTCTGCTTGCTATCCTCAGAATGCAAAAAAACAGAGAGAAAACTTCTTGTGTAACAAGATAATGCGTTTTTGCATGAAGGTTAAGATGACTATTCATCTTTAAGTGTATTATGACAAAAAAAAAAGGAAACCCTACACGGTTCTGTTTGTAAGCATTTTTGTAAATATGTGGCTGAAATAAAACATTGTTATCTTAATGTTTCAAAGCCAGATATAAGTTGATTGTATTTGCCTTCCATTTTGGAATATGCAAAAGGTCAATCTTCAGTAACTTCAGTCTTAAATGTTGGTTCTGAACATGTACAAGAGGGAACTCTGGAAACTGACTTGCACTCCTTCCAGTTTGTTCTCCTTGAGTCATGAGTGTTACATGTGCATCCTGATAAGAATGTAGCCCCTTGTCACTAACATGAAATCTTTGAAATATGCTTAGTTCACAGAAAAATGCATTTGGTTAAGGTGCTGATGTGAACCCTGTGAATTGTTTCTTCTCAAAATTTGAACCTTTGTTTTTAAATAGTTTGAAGCTGAAGTTTCTTTGTTTACTCTGGAACTACAAATTTATTTTTTACAGTAATAAAATGAAGACTTAAAGTTCTGTGTATGTGAGTCTTTGGGGAGAAAGTTGAGCTAATGGGGCTAACTAAAAATCAAGTGCCAATCTCCGTATGTTTTGTAACTTGTTACTTGGGTTATCTTCAAATAATTTAAAACTTCTATTAGTCACAACTACGACTTTGCTAGAAGATCTTGACTAACCTGGAATAAATGTCCCCTACTAATGCAAGGGTCACTTTTCTGCTTCTATTGGAATGTTAAACATTGTGCACTTTCAATAGATTTAGTTATGTAGTGTCCTCACCTAAGAAAATATGACCATTAAGTTAACTGTATATGTGCAGACTTTGGAGGTTTCTGTTGTTCTTTAACTTTCTCTTCACTTAAATGTAAACCTAAAAAAATTACCAAAATGGAATGTTAGTAATTCAAGTATTTATGTAGTCTTAAAGGTCTAATGACTGTTCTTTATTATGCAGTTAAAATTGGTATTTTCCAAAATAACTTCTAAGTTAGGAAGAGTCCTTGTATACCAACTCTTTTGGAAGTTGCTAAGAAGTTTATTTATATTGGACATTTTCATTACAATTGTATAGTAGCCACAATCTACTATTTCAGATTTATAATTTGCTTCCTTCTTGAACAAAAAGATTCTGTGAAAGAAAAAAAAAAAAGCCATTATATTTACAATAAATAGCATCTGAAAAATCAGTGGGTTTATTTTGCAATTTACAAAAATTGGCTATATTTGTCTGATGGTATGTGTGTTATAGTTTACAGATGGGACTAAATATGACTTGTGGCTTCTACCTCAAGAAATGAACCCATTTTAACTGCTTCTGTAGATCTGCTGTTTGTTAAAATGATTTGAGAATAATACTACGGCAGTTTAGCAAACTCTCCTTGTTTGCTTTGGTAGAACACTAGTCTGTACTGTGGGAATCAAGTACTGTTTAAAGCAAACTGTTCATCATTTACATTAGAAGTCACCTACCTGAAGATTTTTGTTCTTTTCTTGAAAAATAATGTGATGGGAAAGGTGGGTTGTACCACATGACTATGGAGCTCTGACTGAAAGCAAATTGCTTTGTAAGCCTAAGTGCTCCATCAATAAGAAATCTGATTATATTTTTCAGAGGTGACAAATGTGTTGCTGTATATGATCTTTTAGCCGTCTGAAATGCCAGAATATAGGCAGTTCATCTCACTTCTGTTTAATTGTTTTAAATCAAACATCATTTTTTGTCAAATGTGAACTGTTCTGAAAAGATTCTGAGGGAACAAAATTGTATATTGAATTTAGCATAGACTTTATCTCTTGAGGTAACATTGTCTTTGAGACAGTTTTGCCGAGATAAATGTTGATCGCAGCAAAGGTCAAAACGACTTAGCCTTAAAGTGTTTCTGTCGTTGTAAAAATATCTTTAACAGAAACATGCTTAGAAAATTTCCCCTTTTAAATGTAGTTTGTAATTGCTGCTTTGAAAAGCTTAAGGATGGATCTTATTCTGAGCAAATGAATATTGTAAATATCCTTGTCATACCTTGAATAAATGGGTACCTTTTTTCTATTATTTGTATTTGTGTCTCTTTGCATACACGTTAGTGTTTTTACAATTTTTCCTTCCCAAAGGTTAGGGAGTTCATGCTGTTGCTGCTTTGCTATCTTGCACTGTTGTGATTTTTGTAGTAAATAGAGTCTTTGATTAATCTTAAATGAAAAGATTTCCTCTTTCTTACCATAAACCTTTTAATAAACATTCCCCTAGTTATTCAAGTCCCAGTTTCAAACATCACACGAAAGTATGGAAATCCCAGTTATGTGAGAAGTAGTTTCTTTGTTGCTTTTTTTGAGGAAATAACTGAAACTTCAGGAGAAAAAGTGCACATGTCTAGAACTTAGAGCAGGTTCTAGTTCCTGTGCTTTCAGGTTAGTTCAAGTATATGAGCATAAGTTCTCTGTATTCAAGAGTCGTGTGATAACATCATTCTGTGGTGCTCTGTAAGCTTGGGATTTTCACAGGGGGAGTAGAACAGCAAATCAGGGCTTTTAATTGGTTGTTGAGGAGTTGTTTTAGTGCTGTGTGCCAGTTAATGCCCTAAAACTACATTTTGACTGAAGTTCCAGCCTCTCCACTAACTTTTACTGAGGTTGGTTCTATCCTAAGAATTCCAAAGAATTAGCCCTTAATTTCAAAGGAAAATAACTCAGATCTAGTTGTATTTGTTAAACTAGGAGAGATATAATGCCAGTGTAGCTCATGGCCAGTTACTTTCAGTGAACACTTTCCATTTATTAATCAGGAATACTCTGACTTTGTTACAGCTCATCATATGGTTGGTACCACTGTAGTTTAGAGCCTATGTCAAAAGCATTGGAAAGACAGGAATCTTCTCTGCAGTAGATGTCAAAGGCAAGGTTTTATTAGTTTACTTTAAAATAATTTCCTTGCTAGATTCCAAGGTACAGACTCACTTAATTGTTGCCTTTCTGGTTTGCTTAATCATCAGGATGGAAAGTAGAGTTCATGTTCCTAAACCAAATATAACAGGTGTATCTCCCTGCTGGCTCTTCAGATGTCACTGCCAGCCCCTGGACTCCTGTCTGTTTCTGCCATGTCCTGGCTTTCTTTGGCTGTTAATTCTACTCTTCAGATTGCCATTACCAGAGAAACACCCAGCAGAATTTGGCATTTGTGGCCCATTTGGCCTGAGCTTCACCCCTCTAGTGTTGGTCTTGGCATATTAAAGCATCTTTCAGAAAACTTGGATCTCGTGCTCAGTCCAACAAAGTTCCTGCAGCTGCTGAAATCCCTCACCAAGCCTCATTTCAGCACAATTATGATATAGTAAAGCATCCTTCTCAAATATGTAACAATTTACAGAAAAATTAACGGTACTGATGTGGAATAATTTTGTGTGGAATGAAATATCTCAAACTGTAGTGATTGATAATTTATGATGTTGCTTACAATCTATTTCTAGAAAAGCACTGATGTGTTTTTTACCGCTCCTAAATGTGTCTATTTTACCTGCTGAAGTAGTGCATGTCTGGAGGTGTACTTGCTGAAAAGCATGTGTTCCTATACTTCCTAGCAGACACCATTTTTCATTGAAGTGGTAGTAGGACTGCATTGCTGGGAAGTGTAATGGATCTATAAAAATTCACAGGTTTGACATATCTGACTGCATGTGATGCCAAAAGCTCATTAAAGCACTGGGGTTCTATCGGACTTGCTGCATACAGGAGGAATGTCTCTACTGAAATGGCAACAGCGTTTGACCTACTGTGTAGTACAGCAGTGTAGGTCTCTGAAGTCCAGGAGTCGAGATGTTCATAACGGAGAACTGGGCTCTGACCATCCAGTTAGCGGTGCAGCCGACCACGGGCAAAACATGAGTGACCCACACGCTTTGTATTCCTTTTTTCGGTGCCCGACTCTGAACCTCTGGGTCGGGCCCGCACCGTCCCTTCTGCAGTCGGGGCGGCGACGGTCACCGGGCGGGCTGAGGGCGCTCCGGGGCCACCAGGGGGAGCCACGGGGAAGAGAAACGCCGGGGGCCGAAGGGCGGGCGGTGCGAGGTGCTCACCAGCCCCTGCGAGCACCGGCACCGAGCCTGTGCTGCCCGGGAACCTCAGGTAGCAAGCAGGGCTATACCTGCCAAGCCGGGGACTGCAGAGCGTGTAGTGATGTCTCGTGGTCGAGGGTGAATCACAGAATGGTAGGATGGTTTGGGTTGGATGGGACTTTAAAGATCGTATAGTTCCCACCTCCCTGCATGGGCAGGGACACCTCCCACTGGACCAGGTTGCTCAAAGCTCCATCCAACCTGGCCTTGAGCACTTCCAAGGAGGGGGCACCCACGATTTCCTTGGGCAGCCTATTCCAATGTCTCACCACCCTCATAGTGAAGAATTCCTTCCTAATGTCTAACCTAAATCCACCCTCTTCCAGTTTAAAGCCATTACCCCTTCTCCTATCACTACATGCGCTAATAAAGTCTTCCACAAAGACCTGCCTCTCCAGAGCCCCTCATCAGGCACAGCCCTTAGAGAAACAGCAGCATCAGTGCTTTCTGCAAGCCTGGAAAGCAGATGAAAGCATGACATGGTGCTGGAGAAAGCCCAAAGCATAGAATTAAAATGACCAAAGGTTTGAGAATTACAAAAAAGAAAAGAAGCATTGGGTGCAACATGCTGAAGGAAACCCAGTGTTTCCAAGGGGCAGGGGGTAACCTGTGCTGGATAGGGTCAAGGTGTGGGGCTTTGTAGGAAACACAAAACACACTCACCAACCTTCCTGTAGTTTTCCTCAAGTCTCTTAATCTCCAGGCAGATCTTGACCTTTGACTCTTTGCAAAATCTAATTTATTGGACCTAGCTGAGCTGTCTGCCCTGAGACAAGATCAATGAGCAATTCCTAATAAGGGCCAGTTTCTCTGCAGGGATTCTGAACAAAGCCTTTGGAAACAGCTCTCTTTGGTGCTTGTCCCTGCAGGAATGTGTGTTTGGTGACCCAAATAGAAGGCATTCAGGTGCCAGCTGCTTGCAGAGAGATCCAGGGGAAGACTTCTGCTCAGTGAGCAGTGGTGGGGGATATGGCACCAGCAGAGCCAAGGTTAGCCTCCCAGCCTTCACACTTGCTTCTCTTTAATGTTATGCATGATGGCATCTGTCTTCCCCTGCAGGTCGATGTCTTTCAGATTCTCTAGGGTGCTGAGGTGCTCAGAGGAAATGAAGGAGCCACGGCTGGCAACCTTGCTCCCTTCAAGCTCAGAAGGGAGTCTTCCGAATGGCCTGGCTGACTCACTTTCACCATTAGCCATCTAACTTATGTGGAGAATTATCCTCAGCTAGCTCACCCACACCAGGAACAGTCACAACAGCCCAACATGCGGAGTGTTTCCCCTCTCTTACTTTTCTGTCAGTTTTTAATCCAGCCCGAGTGAGGGGGAAGTAAATGACTTACTGGTTATTAAATCTCGGGAGTTACCTTGGATGAAGAAAATGGGCTGGAGAAGAATCATGGCACTTC